ATATATATATATATATATATATATATATATATATATATATATATATATATATATATATATATATATATATATATATATATATATATATATATATATATATATATATATATATATATATATATATATATATATATATATATATATATATATATATATAAAATACTTTTTGTGATGAAACTTTCACCACGGACAATAAGAAAACTGAAGGTATATGTAATGTGAGCGTCTTGTTTTATTTTAAAATAAAAAATTAATCTGTTACCTCAGTTTTAAGAAAACTGACACAATTATATACTCATGGTTTGAGATTCGATTCCTAACTCCTGCAATTTTGTGTTTTATTTAGAAACAAAAAGGCACCTTTAATTTTTATAAATTTTACGTTGGAAATGTTACATCGGTTTTCTCTAAAATCGAGATTAAAAACTCTCTAATTTTTTATTCTTTTTGGAACTTAAAAGGCGCTTTATTTTTTATATATTTTAAGTCGGATATGTTACCTTGATTTTCAGTAAAACTGCGATAAATACTCTTTATATTTTGTATTCCCTCAGTGTCTACCTCATTCAATTTTCGATCTCTAGAGAAAGAGCACTTCTTCAGCCAACAAAAGAACTCGCTCACCATTATTCTCCAAGGAGGACAGAAGCCCTAGTGGACGAAAAAAACTCTCTCACCATTATTCTTTGATATGTTATTCTTGTTGTTGTTGTTGTTTTTGTCCATTACTGTTGTTGTTGTTCTTGTTCTCCATTACTATTATTTTTGTTGTTGTTGTTTCCATCGTTGATGTTGTTACCATCGTCATCGTTATTGTTATTATTACGGTTATATAGATTGAGTGTTCATTTTTATTTGTTGTGTACTATTTTATTTTATTTTCAGAAGCTTTATGTGATTATGGATCATAGTTGGATGAAAACCAATAGATTAAGTAAAGAGTATGAGATTGGAGTGATACAATTTCTTGATTTCACGGAAAAAAACGTTCCTGACAATAATGGAATTTTTTGGTGTCCTTGTAAAAAATGTTATAATATAAAAAAACATCTAAGGAATGTTATATTCAATCATTGTGGTTATGATGGAATTATGCAAAATTACACGAAATGGGTATGGTATGGTGAAGGGACAAAAAAGAGACCTCTATCACAGACAGTTGAAGATGAAGTTGAAGAATTTTTGAATGATACTCTAGAAGACATGATTCTTGAAATTGGAGTAGATGATTTCAAGAAAGCTAATGTGGTATATACTTTGCAAAGAGACATGGAAAATTAGTTGTATCCGAGATGTAAAAGTTTTACAAGATTCTCAGTTGTGTTAAGACTATTTATTCTTAAGGCAAGAGGTAGGTGGATGGATAAAAGTTTCACTGGTTTTCTTAGATTGTTGAAAGAAATGCTTCCCGAAGGTAGCACTTGTCGAACCGTACTTATAAGGCTAAGAAGATATTTTTCCCAATAGGTTTGGACTATGACAACATACATGCATGTTGTAATGATTTAATCTTATATAGGAAAGAGTTCAAAAACTTTAAGGAGTGCTCAAGGTGTGGGGAGTCACGCTACAAGCAGAAGAATGGTGTTGATAATAATGATGGTGTAACTAGCAAGGGTGTTCCTGCCAAGGTGATGAGGTACCTACCGATAATTCCGAGGTTCAAGATATTGTTTTCTAATGTTTGTGACGCAAATAATACTATATGGCATGTAGATGAATGAGTGTGTAATGGAAAAATTCACCATGTAGCTGATTCAGTGCAATGGAAGAAAATTGATTCTTTGCTTTCAGATTTTTCCCTTGAACCGAGGAACCTTAGGCTTGGACTTTCCATCGACCGAATGAACCCTTTTGGTAATTTTAGTACTAACCATACGTCATGGTTTATATTTCTCATAATTTACAACCTATCTCTATGGTCGTGCATGAAACGCAAGTATATGATGTTATCGATGATGATTTCGGGTCCAAAATAACCAGAGGACGACATAGATGTTTATTTAACGCCATTGATTGAATATTTAAGACTTTTGTGGGAGGAAGATGTGGATGTTGATGATGTGTACACATGTGATAACTTTAAGTTGTGTGTCATGTTATTTTGCACAATTAATGACTTTTATGCATACAGTAATTTGTCTGGGTACAACGTCAAGGGACATAAAGTGTGTCCTATATGTGAAGTTGAAACATGTCTCCACCAATTACAAAAAGGAAAAAGATTGTTTATCTTAGGCATAAAAAATTTCTAAGACCTAATCATTCATATTGTAGATTGCAGAAGGCTTTTAATAGAGAGCAGAAGTTTGATGTCACTCCAAGGCCCTTAAATGGGAAGGAAGTTTATAAAAGACAATAACATATTAATGTTTTCGTTGGAAAGAAAAAAAGCTTGTGGAGAAAAATATTTGGAAAAAGAGGACAATATTCTTTAATCTTCCATACTGGTCTAGTCTTGATGTAAGATATTGTGTTGATGTGATGCATGTGGAGAAAATGTATGTGATGGTTTGATTGGAACACTTCTCAATATCAAAGGCAAGATAAAAGATACTAATAAATCCCATTAAGATATGGTTGTGATATGTATACGACAAGAGTTAGCCCCAAAAGAAGTAAGAAATAGAACATATTTTCCCCCAACATGTCACACTCTATCTAAAAAAGAAAAAAATGTGATTGTTTGCAGGGTATCAAAGTTCTCCAATAGTACTCATCAAATATGAAGAAAATTGTGTTAGAGAATGATTACAAATTAGTTGGCTTAAAATCTCATGATTGATATGTCTTGATGCTATAACTTTTACCAGTGACTATCTGTGACATTTTACCAAGAAATGTAAGGATAACTATAACCAGATTTTGCTTATTCTTCAATGCTATATCTAGCAAAGTTATTGATCCTAGAAATTTAGATGACTTGAAACACGAAGCTGCAATTATCTTGTGCTAATTAGAGCTATTTTTTACACCATCATTCTTTAACATTATGATTCACTTAGTTGTTTATCTAATAAGGGAGATTAGAGTTTGTGGTCCAATTTATTTACCGTGGGTGTATCTGGTAGAGCATTACTTGAAGATTTTTAAAGTGTATACAAAGAATCATCACCATACGGAAGCTTCAATCGTAGAAAGGTACATCACATAAGGGTTATTGAGTTTTGTACAAACTATTTGTCAGAAGCAAATTTTATAAGAATTCCAGAGTCTCGTCATGATGGATGTTATGATGGTAGAGGTATTCAAGGTTTAAATATTAAGACATCTGATCGACAAGTAGTTCTTTAAGAATATTTGTATATATTGAATAACCTTAGTGAAGTTCAACCTTACTTGACCGCTCACAAAAGTCTTATAAAGGAAAAAAATTCTCAGATGAATGAAAAATGGTTGTTGACAGCGCATAACAAAACTTTCATAACTTGGTTTAACGAAAGTACTTTTAGAAGAGAGTAGTGCATTAGATACTTGCAAATGGTTGTCAGGTATGCCTAAGTTTAATGTAATTACTTGGAGTGCATACAACATTAGTAAATATTCATTCTATACAAAATCAAAGGATGGTTGCAGTACCATGTAAAATAGTGGCGTTATGGTTGAGATTTAATCCATGAACTTTTCTAGATCCAAAGAAATAATCATGTACTAGCATCTAAAGCGTACTTTGGAGTCGTTGAGGATATTTTAAAGATTGACTATGTTTCTTTTTAAGTGTCTTTATTTAAGTGCAGGTGGATTAACATTAACAGTGGTGTAGAAACTGATGAATAAGGATTCACATAGGTTGATATTCGAAAGACAACTTATAAGAACGAACCATTCATCATAGAAACCCAAGTAAAACAAGTTTTTGCTCAACTGATCCTTCTAACACTAGATGGTCAATTATTCTTCAAGGAAAACATCTTTCTGATAGTACTGATGAAAATCAAGATTTTAACTATGAGACGCCTTGTTTAGCAACACATGTACGTCTATCATATGGAAAAAAAGTGATTCAGATGATGTGCATGTTATTCGTCTGATCATGAATAGGGGATATGGAAAAACTAGTAACCAAATGTTGGTTAATTATTTGTTTTATTTTTTATGTAAAATTTTAAAGTGTGTTCCATTTTGGGTTTGTATTTGGTGTAATCAATAAATATTTTTGGTATAATGTTTCAGATTGAGAAATTGGCAAAATGTACAATGTTTATGTTTCAGAAATATGTAAAATATGGTTCTATGTTCTATAATATGGTTTTGTAATACAAGTGCAAACGATGGTCAAAAAATGAATAAACTTATCCCCTCGATTTTTACATGAAACTGAGATAATAACATTGAGATATTACCTCGATTCTACAAAATACTGAGTGTTAATATTGGACGCGACATCCAGTCTTGAAAATAATAAAAATGCAGATGTCGGGGATCGAACCCACATGTAGATGATTTTATCCCTCGATTTTTAAATAACTGAGATCTAAAATAATAGCTTTTCATAACGTCTTTCGTTACCTCACTTCTATAGCCGAGATCAAATATATTTCGCATCCGAGTATTATAACAATGGACTTGCATGTGTGGACAAAGGATTGTTGAGCTTAGCATGTACTACATGAAACTAAAATGCACCTCTTGATCTATGCAAGATAATTAAGCAAAGGGAACCAACTTTTCCAACGTGTCACAGCCACAAAAGTGCATTAGAATTTATAAATTAAGTGACCTCTTTCTTTTGAGTGAATCCAGATCAATCAACCTTGAGCTTATAAAAGGTATTACTACAATTGAATAAATCTAAGAAAAAAATAAAGATCATTGTCTTAAAAGAATTGCCTTTTTTTCTTTTTATTTGGCTTTATCTCCAACAATATATCCACCTATTTGTATCTTACATTTCATAACCAGCTTTATTGTGATGTGTTTTTTCTTAGGTCGGTGAAACATGGCTTTTTATAGAGACATTGTGATTCTATAGAGGAGTCAAGTTTGTGATTGAAGAGAAAATGTCTTCAATGGACTTGAGGCAAGCCTTTGCTGGCCTTCTCACTCTGTCAATGTTCATGATGATTGGTAATATGATCAAGAAGGATCATTTTGATTATTCAATTAATGATGTAAGTCACTTATATCCTTTTATTATAAGCTTTTTTTTTTAATAGGTTTCATCCAAGGTAATTTTAAATTAGATTATAAGCTTAATTCCTTTCTCTTCTTTAAAAAAAAATTATATATGATGAATTGTCATAGTTTCCTTGTCACTTAGAAATTATTCTATTTTGCTTTCTTAGGAATTATTCATAATATCAATGGATTAAGGTTTTTTTGGCTGTTGTGTGATCAATTCTACATTGTGAAATCAATCGCACTCTACAACTATTAAATTTGCTTATTTCACACTCTTAGTTCATGATTTCACACTCTTAGAATATTTAATAATTTAGTGGTTGAATTAACTTACAAATGTAAAATGAAATAAAAGAGTTATGTTGAGTAATTTTTTTAATTTTAAATGTAAGAATATATTAGTGAAATTGAGAGAAAAATAATAAATTATATTATTTGAATTAGTTTATCAAAATAAACTCAAAATATTAAATGCCATTATACACGTTACTAGAATAAAGTTGGTAAAATGAGTTGAAATTATTTGCCACGCAACTCGGATACGTCAAAATAGATGACAATTCTCATGAAAAATGAAGTGAGCTAGTTAGTCAAACCAACTTGTCCTATTGTAGATTATTACTGCATACACAAACATTAAAATCAATTATTGGATTATAGGATATCAATATGATGATTATGCAAGCTAAAATTACTGATGAAGTTTTGTTTGCGCTCAACCATGTGAAGGTTGAAATTCAACCAAGCATGACGACAGTTTCACATCTAAGCAAAAGGACTTTGAAGCAAAATGATAAAGGACTAAAACCATGCTGGAATCCACCTTGTGCACTCGGTAAGTTATCAGCCTTCATGATCTATTTTGGTTAGTTTGTTGCTTATTGATGATCATTGAAGTTTTATCATGTTGACACAACTAAGGCTTTAAATCGTAGTCACAGTCATAGTTTAAAATTGTGGTATGAGTTGCACTTACGTGTGAACCATTATATTATTGTAAAATGTAGAGAATACGGTTGAAATTACAATTGCAATAAATGTTGGTGCAGCTCTAGAAGAAATCAAATACATTATGTATTATTATATTTACGGATGTCTTAAACGAGGGCGCCTTTGTCAAGAAGGTGTAACATGCCCCAAGTAATACACATTTTTAACACCTTAAAGAGCACAATACTCACTATTGTCTTAACACACGACTGTTGGTGATTGTATGTTTTTTATGAAGTATCACCGGTCATCAGCAGAGTCTCTCATCTCATGTGAGTAGGTCTCCTAAATAAGTTTAAAACACCACGGTACAGAACTTCTCGCCGCCGTGGACAAGCCTTCACCACCAAAACATATTATAAACCTACTGAGGCCTCTGAGTCTCACTTTCTTTGCAGGAGGAACATGCACACATGTACTTTTTGACCAAGTCAGTGGTGTCCACCGTGGGGCCTCAGTAAAATTAACCTGGACCACACTTTCTTCTATCACCATCACCCTTCCCGTTGTTACCCACCACTCCTACATTTAGCCACTTTCAACTATTGTTAATATTGAGAGCTCCATCTCTTATGCCAAAAGATATCAGTGGTAGTGGTGATGCTGGCGCCCTAGAAGAGATGCGTGCCGCTATAGACGAATTATGCAGCCATAATCAGACGTTAGAAGACGAAGTCTACAGCATCGGACAACGCCAACATGATCCCAATCTCCCAGGAAATAGAATTGTTGGATTCCTAACCACTCTCATACGATATATGGGGGACGCATATCCCTGAAGGTTCCAAACCTTTTTTTCTCGGCCAAGTTTGATGGGCGCGTCGATCCCTACAAACATGTTACCTCCATCAATACATAAATGACCATCATAGGAGCTCCTGACTCCTTAAAGTGCAAGATGTTATCTAGAACCTTCAGAGAGGCCTCCCTCATATGAGTTTGCCCCGTTCCTCTATCAGCAGCTACCGAAAATTGGTAAAGAAGTTGGTCCATCAGTTCGCCGCCAGCTACCATAAGAAGATTTCCAACACCAGTTTGCTTAATATACGCCAGGGTCCCTCAGAATCACTGAGGGTCTATCTCGCATAATTCAACGAAGTCACCATTATAGTCCTCCCGCCTAACCAAGAAATATTTGTGATGGCGTTCCAAAGTGGACTTAAGGTGGGACACTTTAATGAATCCCTCGCCCAGAATTCAACGTTGTTGTTGGCAAAAGTGGTTACCAAAGTTGAGTGTCACATAAAGGGTAAGGAAAACAACATCGGGAAAAAGGCACGTGACGTCAAGGAGTGTGTTCCCAACGTCGAAAGCTTGCATCATCAAAGGAAAAGAAATTATACCTCGCCCATAAAGGACAAGTCAACGTTCAAAAGAGTAGGTAAGGCAACAAAGAACTTCACGCCTTTAAACACTCATCGTGAGCAAATCTGGCGCGAGGAACTCCACTTGCACAACATTCCTACAATGCCTACTCCTAAGGCATGCGTGATGGGTTATGTACCAAGAAAATGGTGTAAGTTCCACAAGGTAAACAGATATCACACTAAGAAAGGAAATCGAGAAACTGATACATGAGGATCACCTTAAGAAATATGTGAACGGAGACTCCTTTCATTCGTCAGATACATCTGACTCGTATGGATGAGACAATGTTGGGAGTCCATGGCCCAACAAATCCATAGAGTCACATCAGGGCGAGGACAGCAAAGCCAAAAGTCACACACTTAACACTATAGCATAGGGTTCGACGGAGACGGGTAAACAAGCTCAGCCGAAAAAAAAGATACAGTTGCCAAATCCTGAGCGCGGAAAACCTCCCTGAAGTCAAAATTGAAAGTGAGCTCCAAGAAACCTCGTGATATCCTTTTCAAAGAAAGATTCTGATGGTATTCATCCCCATAACGATGACCCATTGGTCATTTTCATCAAATGCGAAGATTGAGAGATTGAAAGAGTTTTCGTCGACCAGGGGAGCTCTGCACACATATTGTATTGGGAGGCATTTGATTGGATTCTTTGGAGAACCTATACTAGTAAAGAGATATATCACCTTGAGTATTTCCTTTGGAGAAGAAGACCAAGCTAAGGAAATAAAGGTTACGTATCTGGTTATTGATGTCCCATCTTCACATAAAATGATTATAGGGAGATCGACCTTTAATTGACTTGGCACCATATTGTCTGCTATGCGTTTATGCATGAAGTACATGCTCCTAAATTGGAGAGTAAGGGTTATCCAATGAGATCAGGAGATTGCCAAAAAATGTTATGCATAAAACCTCGGGTTAAAGAGAATCCTCACTCAGAGCAAAAAGGCTAGAAGGATAAGCTTGGGAATAACACCGTCGGAGGAATGCCAAAAAGGTGATGGAACCTCCTCCCCCACCTCTAAGGGGATTGAATGTTAAATATTTGGGATATGTAACTTCTGAAGATGTCAACATAGCTTCCATTTATTTTTCTTTGATATTAAATTATTGTTTTAGTTTTATGGGCAAGTATTATATCTCTTTCAATTGTAATGAACAAATTACTTTATGGAGCACACTTTTTCCATTATGTTAAAGTACATATGTTTGGATATCCATTTCCTTGAAATAAATTTGAGAATGCATGAGAATATTTCCGCCCAATTAGGCGATCAATCGTTGGATCCTTCAGTGGAATCCATATCGCCCAATAAGGTGATTAATCGCTGGATCTTTAAATAGGATCCTTTCCACCCAGTGAGATGATTAATCGTTGGATCCTTAAGTAAAATCCTTAATTACTAATGAGACAATCAATTTCTAGATCCTTAAGTGGGATCTTTTCCGTCCATTGAGGCAATCAATCATTGGATCCTTAAGTGGGAACATTTTCTACTAATGAGGCAATCAATCATTGCATCCTTAAGCAGAATCCTTTATGTCCAGTGAGGCGGACAATCACTTGATCCTTAAGTGGGATCCTTTCCATCCAATGAGGATTCCTAAGTGGGATATTTGTCGCTCAATGAGGTGATCAATTGTTGAATTCTTGAGTGGGATCATTTTCTCCTAATGAGGCAATCAATTGTCATATCCTTAAGTGAGGATCCTTGCCGCCAAATGAGGTGAATAAGTTAATAGATCATTAAGTGGTATCCTTCCCTCCTAATAAGGAGATTGATTGTTGGATCCTTAAGTGGGATCATTTTTGCTCAATAAGGCAATCAATCGTTGGATCCTTAAGTGAGATCCTTGTCGTCTAATGAGACAATCAATTACTTGATCTTAAAAAATGATATTCTTACAACCCACAAGGGCAATTACAATCAAAAACGCCCTTGTACAAAGGTTAAAAACAAGGAGATGGTAATAAAAACAGTTAATATAAAAGGCTCCCCAAAGGTATGTCGATGTTCACGACGATTACAAAGTCCTCTGAAGGGGCATAAGAATACAAACAAAAAATTCCCTAAGGGGAACATAAATACAAGGTCCACTAGGGACCAAGATATAAACCAAGTAATTACTCTTCCTTTTGGATCATCTCCTCCTCAACAACACTCCATGGATGAGGGACTTCAGACTCGCCTTCCATTTTCTCATCCTGACCATGAGTTTCCTCAATGGAAGAAGGGTTTTTAAGAGAGGTCATTGTCTCCTTATCCACCATCGTACCATCTCAAACGACTTTGAGAAAGTCTAGGAGACTCAAATATAGATTGGGATAAAGGAATAGAACCTTCTCTTTAGTTCGCTCGACGTAGATGTTAGAAGCAGACACAATCTCGTCGTTTAGGTCTAACACATCATTCTCTAAATCTTTCTGGAAACAGAGAGCAACATTTAAAGAATCTTGTAAAGAGTCAGTCTTAGTTGTAACCTCTTTTTCCTTGGCCTGAACATCCTCCAAATTTTTTTCCCATTTCTTCTTATCTTGTTAGAGGGACTGCAATAGCCGTTGGCTCTCATTGTAGGCGTCCACCTACTCTTTGAGTTTCACCTCTAGCACTTTTTCCACCTTGTCACTCTTTCCCTGCTCTACCTCCTGCAACATGAGTGCCCTCATTAAAGGGTGACATTCACGTTCACAATAGATGAAATTGGCTTAGATAAGATGGATGAATAATTGGCAGGAAACTCTTTGGAGAAGGGGAGGTGATAAATCTTGAACCGCAGGGTGTTGGTGCACACCAGGCCAAGGAGGTCGGAGGAAACCCGCCTACAAAGGGCTCTTCCATTTTCATCTTGTTGGAAATGGAAGGGTATCCCTCTTCCAACATCTGAGCCTTGGTGTCTGGAAAGTCAGGAGATGGCACTTCAGCTAACCCTTTTTTTACTTTGGAGGATAAAACCATCGAAATGGCTCTTTGAGCTGCTAGTACCCATTATGGAATACTTTAACTTCTCCCACCTTTTCATACACTCCTCAGTCGAAATCATTTCCATTTGATCTATAAAATAAAACACGAATCATAAAAGGAGTACAAAATCATGTAAACAAAAAGGAAGATAAAAAACCATTTACATATATAGGCGACAAGGTGCCTACCACCTCGTCTCCAGAGATTAATTACTTATCGACAATCAATAATATCAAATGAACCTAAGAAGTGAATAGTCCTCTTCTCCCCGAGAGAAAGGAACACCAAGTCGGATCCCGTGATTATCATCAATTCATCCATCTAGGATAGAGGATAGGGGTGGCGTTATCAGATCCTAGCATACCGATAGAATCGTCGCCCCACCACCAAACAAATGTGTCCTTCTAACACTTATAATGGTTGGAATGAGAAGTGAGAAGGCTTCTCGTCGGCCGACTACCTAGGGACACCCAGTTGCTCTTCGATGGGTTGGTTGTAAAGAATCAGAAAATTATCCTTACGGTCAAAGTAATATTTAGTTCTTCAC